CTTTTTAAAACACGGGTAAAAGAGAAGTAGAGAAGAGAAGAAAGCAAGCAAAGTAAACAGGGCCCACCTTCTCTCCGTTACCTAATCGCATAAAAACTTTTTTGATATGAAATAAAATACTTCAGCACCATAATATCATGTCCCGCAAGTAAACGGTTTACCATGTCTAGTCCCAAATTTTTCAGTTTTATTCTGCCTCAAGTGGGGTTTTGAGAAAGTTTTTGGATCGCCAATGTGCTGTTCATTGCATGTCTAGTTCTTGGAAAGTCCTTTAAATGAAGGGCATTATTGCATATCTTAAACTGCTTTGGCGCTTTCAAGACACGCATCTAAACATCAGCTCTCGCTGAGTTGGACTGGGTAAACGAACCAATTTGGTGCACCAGTACCCAGATGCTCCGACCCCCGCGCATAGAAATGTTTGATCTTATAATGCCAAATAAGTTATTTGTGCGTCACATCGTTTATGGTTTGACAGTGAACAACAGCTATATGCATTCTTCCTATTTCTTTATAAAGTGCAGTGTTCAATCTCTGCGCCGTTGTACTTCACCGCGCAAACCCGTCGACTCTTAAACGGTCAAATTTATAAAAGAAATCGCTTGAGCAGGCCAGTCTGGTCGTGCTGTTTGCCGGCAGAAAAAGCAGGTGAAGGAAGATTGGAAGACTGCTGCTAGCTCATGCACGGTGCTACACGGTAGCACACTGCTTTAGTTGGTGGCTTCATCTTCAGGATAAGGGTGGGGCCAGTAGCATAAATGGGCTCCGCTGTTGTTTGACGAGATATAATTCAACGATTTGTTTGGGACATCCGTAGAAGGTTAACCTATAAAGCAAGTGTGAAGGAAACATTACTGTCGATCTTATGCTCTTATATGCTGTAACTTCAAATCGCGGGTAGAAAAACTAGATTTCTGAATTTGGGGGTTTAACTGTAACATCTTGCTGTGAGTAAAGCGCTCTTTCGAGATCAAGAATTGAATAATTACAGTCTTTGTCTGCAAAATGATTATGTGAATTAAATGCGTTACTGAATATTCCTTCAAGACCGATTAAATCTCCAAAGTAGATGATGGTGTAGTAATCAGTGTGTAAGACTTTGCAGCAGTAGTTCAAAAAAACGTAAGAAAGCTTTCTTCTGGTCAGCGACTTATATAGGATAATAACTAAAAAAATTTGTAAACTTCAAAATGAAGAACGCGAAAGAACCTAAAAAATATATGCTAATTTTATCAAGCAATTGAGTTTTTTTTAGTTATATAAGCAGAGAGGAATATTTGTCAGGTAATTAAAGTAGCTTTTGTCATAAATTTTTATATATTGTTGCGAGACCATTGGTTCCAGAATTGTTTAGTGCTACAAAAACGTGCCGGTTTTTTAGAGTAATAAAGTTTATATTTGAGCTGTACTATCTCGTCTTATTCTCGCAAACGCTTTTTCCCTACACATTCTTCAGAAAGCTATAGATATAGAACGTCTCAAAAAAATTTTTTTTCTGGAACTTGTATTTTCAAATATTGACACGTAAAAAACTTGCTTTTTTGTTTGCTTTAAATTTCTAACTTGCAATTATTTTTGATGATTTATCGGCTTCAAACTGGGGAACAAATTGCTGAAGCTGTCAAGGCTTTAACCTTACGTCACGTTCATTAAAGTAAGCTTTTACACAAAGTTTCTGCTTGAATCAGCATGTTCTGTCGTAAATAAAAATCTTCCAGATTTCCTACCGTCACTTCATGTTCAAAGTTCATTAGAGCAGATGTCAAAAAAACCGCTGAAAAATTAAATGCTTTAAGGCGATATCGTATACTTACAATAACCAGTTTAAAAAACAAATGATAAAAAAAACAATACTGAAAGATAATACATTTGCAAGAGAATCATTCCAAATTAGAAATGTGGTATTTATTTGTTTGTTTTGTTCGCTTACTGCTAGAAGACGAATTCTAGCTGTAGATAGAAAAAATGTGCAATAAATTGCTAAAGCGCGTTTTTAGAGCTGCACTGAACCGAGGAATTTAAAAAAAAAAATGAAAAAAAAGTGGTTTACGTTTTGGAAACCCGGCTACCGACTAAACTGCTAAGAAAAGCGTTTGAAATCTATCTATATAAAAATAGCTTTTCAAAGTTTTACAGACCAGCAGCAGAGGATGAGATAATTTGGAAGCTAGTGAAAGCTGCAGTTTATAAACAAAAAATTTTTTTGTCAGCATTAAAAATTTTGAAACGTTTTTGTTATCAATGAGAAAGCTTTAGAAAGGTTTCTACGACACAAAAAGCAACAAATGTTTGAAAAAAAAAATCAATTTTGGATGCTTTGTTTAAACGATTTATGTCATTTTATATCAACTTTTGGGTCTTTTCGCAGTTTCTTGTTTAAAACGAAGTGTCTATCAAAGATACGTTTAATCTTTGTCGTATATGCTTTTTCATCTTACTTAAACATTTGTAAAACTTCCCAAGAAGTAGTAATTTTTGCACAGTAATACGTGTTCTTCATTTACGTCATAGTCTGTTGCTTTATTTGAGTATATATTATTTATGTTACTTAAGAGCTCTCCAGATTACAAAAATGTTATTTACAGTAATAATTCTTGGGTTTTCTCGCTATCGACGTTCTATAATAAAGTTCTTTGCACTCTTAGCTCTTATTTTTCAAACTATCTATTGAACTGTAAGATTATACGTTTTAAAAAGAGAATACTCTTGGTCGAAACAGTTATTAAATCTTTATTTTATCGCTTTGTTAATGATTGGCGACAATCATAAGCAGCTTTTTTACATTTTGTTGTAACGCCTTTATCAGCCGTTATCTCCGTCTTTTTCAATATTACCTAAACTACCAAAATAGATTAAAGCGACCCGATAAAAAGTTTCTTTTACTTCTCCTATAATAAAACCGTACAAATACCTCTCAGAGACGGAAATGGAAATAA